CTGCTTAGAGAAGCAACTTCAGACATCTCATTCCATTCAACTGGTTTCTATAGCACCAACAGTCCAACTGGATCATCCAGTCACCACCAAATGCCACTAGAGCCTAAAAATAATCTAGAATGAAAAGGAACCTAGAAGCGCTGATCTATAAATACTTTCTATGTTAGAAAAGTTAATGGTAAGCTAGATAGACAGGTAGCTCTGTCTGGGGAACTGTTAATCAGACGAGCTCTGAGCCAGTTTCAAAAAGAGAAGATCCAGTTAGTCCCAGTAAAAGCTGAGCCCACAGCTATAGGGGAGAAACAGGACTAAACACTGAAAAACAGGCAGAGCTCCAACATCTAGAAACAAAGGTGTTGATGGCAGCAGCACAGCTGATATTTCTCTCCAGGATGGAGTCACAGCCAAACAGGAACAGACCAGATGAAGCTACTATGAGAAAAAGCAGAGAGAGCAGAACGTTAGAGATTGAACTAACAGATTCTGCAGAGTGGGAGAATAGATAGACAATGAAGCAGAATGATGAAAAAGGGGTCCCTATGTCCTCCAGCAGTCTAAGCCTATAGCAGCATAACTATAGAGATAGATCAGGATAACCTGAGCCACCCTAACTATAAGCTTTATCAAAAAGGAAAGTTCTAAGCCTAGCCTTAAAAGTAGACAGGGTGTCTGCCTCACGGACTAAAACTGGTAGTTGGTTCCACAGGAGAGGAGCCTGAGAACTAAAAGATCTGCCTCCCATTCTACTTTTAGAAATTCTAGGAACCACTAGTAAACCTGCAGATTGAGAGCGAAGTGCTCTGTTAGGAACATAAGGAACAATCAGATCTCTGATATAAGATGGAGCTTGGCCATTTAAGGCTTTATATGTGAGAAGGAGGATTTTAAATTCTATTCTGGATTTAACAGGAAGCCAATGAAGAGAAGCCAGGATAGGCGAGATATGATCTCTCTTTTTCATTTTCATTAGAACTCTGGCTGCAGCATTTTGGATCAGCTGAAGGCTTTTAACTACAGTTTGTGGACTTCCTGATAGTAAAGAATTACAATAGTCCAGCCTTGAAGTAACAAATGCATGGACTAGTTTCTCAGCATCACCCCTGGACAGGAGATTGCTCATTTTTGCAATGTTCCTCAGATGAAAGAAGGAAATTCTAGAAACCTCTTTGATCTGGGATTTAAATTACAATTTAATCCCATCCAGATGAAGAGAATGACCAATATAATTCCAGATTAATGTGTTTGATGTTCTTCCTACAGGTTTCCAATCAGATCAATTCTTGATTCTAGAACTGATGTTCTGTTCGACTCTCTTTGGGTTTCTGCCTTGTTACAGAATCCATTTTAACAAGATTTCCTGGTCAGCAGACGGTAAAATCACCTAATTGGGTATTTTGATTCATTTAATTCTATTCAGTTTATTTCTATAGCTCCAATTCCCATCATGTCATCTCAGGTCACTTTCCAGTTCACCAGATCATCCAGTCAGATTGATTCAAAGTTTTCTATCTAAGGAAAACCAGCTGATTGCATCGACTCATTGACTCTTCAGCAATCCCTCACACTAAGCATGCTTGTAGCGACAGTGGAGAGGAAAAACTCCCTTTGAACAGGAAGAAACCTCCAGCAGAACCAGGCTCAGTGTGAGCGGCCATCTGCTGAGGCCCACTGGGGTTCAAGGAGACAGAAGCAGACATAGAAAAAGAAGCATAGATACAAAAGGCAACTGTCAACCAGCTCCACAGGCGGCCCCGTCCAGGAAACACACAGCCAGGCAGACGAGCTCCGAGCCAGCTCCCATGTCAGAGGATGAAGAGAGCACATCCAGTTAGTCACAGTCAGAGAAACAGGACTACACTGGAAAACAGGCCAAGCTCCAACATCTAGAAACAAAGGTGTTGATGGCATTTAGACTGATCCTGATTTCGAAAAAATTGAAGAAAAGAAGAAGCTTAATGGTCATTGTATAAGATACAAGACATTTCCCTTAGCAGCATAAAGTTAAAACACGTTGTTTAATAAATACTCTGTATAGCAGAGGATTAGATCAGGAGGTAGCAGTGTGTGAGGAAGGTACTAGATGTTCGTTCCTGCAGCGGCTTCAGTCTGCTGGTGCAGATTAGCTGGACTCTGAGTCTGGTGAAAATAGAGAGTCCTGGTTCTGCTGGTGGAGACGGCTCTAATAGATCATTTCTAGGCGTGGCAGTGGGGGGGAGGGGGGGGGGGGGGTCCATGACCCACTGCAGTTGTCTCCTCTCAAATGCTCAGCCTGGGGGGGGGTTACCATTAGAACTCTGCTCTCCAGAGCAAGTAGATTGGTAGTATAGATATGGAAACACAGGAAGGAGCAATCAGCTAAGTGAGCTTAGTGCTTGGAAAAAATCTTTCATTCCTTTAGAGACAGCATGAAAAGTCAGCTGAGTACAAAACATAGAGAGGAAAACAAGAAGAAAAGGGACAAGAAGAGAGGGACACAACCTAGAACAGATAATGGATGTCTATTCTATTAACATTTCTACATCTGGAGAATGGTCTTATCAGCAACAACAATGAGACTGTCTATAGAGAGGAGATCAAGCACATGGCCAGTGGTGCCCCTAAAATAACCAGCTCCTAAACACGACCAAAAGCAGGAGCTAATTGTGGACTTGATTAAGCCAGGCCAACAATTTCCTTTAACGCCCTCCCAAAACAATTCAAGCAGAATGATGAAAAAGGGGTCCCTATGTCCTCCAGCAGTCTGAGCCTATAGCAGCAGAACTATAGAGATAGCTCAGGATAACCTGAGAAAAATGATGAACTCCATTTTGGGAAAGACTCCCTCGGAATGATGCGTATGAGAAATTGCTTAGGAAACCTGCAGATTAAAGGAACCATCTTCATTTCAGTTGAAGATGCAGACAGCAAAGACTTGTTCCCAACAGCTTAAGACTGAAGTCTGCTATCAAAGGACACAGAGCAGAAGATTCTCAGGAATGTGAACAACAAGCTGTATGGTGAGAAGATAAGACTCACTGCACAATTGAAGCTTTCGATTACAAAATAGATCACACAATGTTGTCCAACATTCTCCCTGAAACTTTGACGAAACATCTTTAAGTCCAGTGGATCGTTTGTTAACTTTTTTGGAAAGACTGACCTGGATGACTGAGAATCTTCACCAGCATCTTATGCAGACGTTTATTTATAAGAGGATGTGCAGCATTTTTTTGTGAACGTAGCTTTCTAAACTCCTCTGTAGAATACCATATTTACATGTTTGATGTTTTCAAATCAAAAAAATTTTGGATTAAAGGCAAAAACAAGGTAAGTTATGGAAGCAGAGCAGCATACTGTTCATTGCTGTTAATTACTGCTGCACTTGAACATAGCACCAGAAAACATATTTGGGGGAAAAAAAATCCCTTTTTACCCTTTATTTCTATTAGTAAAGTAGTAAAGAGCTATTTTTAGTAGAGTTTCTCCGATACCTGGCTGTGCAGGATCGGCCGATACCATCTGTTTGTAACTGATGTGTGTGAATATATGAAGAACTGCATCCTGCCTGGATGTAAAATAATCGCAATCATGGCTTCATGTCAAGCTGCTGCCTTCCTTAGAGAAGCAGGAAACAGAATAAAGTGAATCCAGTAGAACTTTTTATTGCCTACCTGGAATGGGTGAAAATAGTTGAAGAAACTTTAGGCTCTAAACGGTATCAGTGCCCTATTGGTTGGTACTCGCTGATACCGATAGCACCATTATAGAGCTGGATCGGGGCCCCGCCTGATACTGGTATCGGTTCAACACTAGTTTTTAGTGTTTATACCAGCAACCACAGATTAAACACATTTTTGTTCTACATTAAAATAATTCAGCATTAATATTACTAATCACTTGTTCTTATAAGTTATGATTTTAAAAGCTTGTTTTGCAAAAGTAAATTTTCAATCAAAAGAATGGAAACTGCTAAAGATGAAATGATTATTTTTTATTCATGTGACATTTATCACCAAAGATTTTTAATCCATCCATTTTCTCCTGCTTAGTTCTTGTCAGGTCGTGGTGGGGGCGGAGCCTATCTCCAGCTGTCTACGGGTGCGAGGCGACGGGTCGCCAGTCCATCGCACGGCAACGAGAAAAACAGGACAAACAACCATTCACACACACTCACACCTTTAGAGATGGTCATGTTTTTGGACAGTAGGAGGAAGCCAGAGTACCCGGAGAGAACCCACGCATGAACAAGGAGAAGACCCTGGGCTGGGAATCGAACCCAGAACCTTCTGACTGCAAGGCAGCAGTGCCACCCACTGCGCCACTGAGCTGCCATACCACAAAAAATCTTTATAAAATTCTGTTTAGATTTAATGGATGTTTGATTGGATTCAATAACTTATTACTTTTTGAGGACGATATAAAACCAAGAATTAGTTTTAGTTTGTCAATAATTCACTTTTTACTATAAATTCTGTTTTCTGGAAAACCAAAAATTCCCAAAATGAAGTGGAGTTCTGAAGATTCGGCCTCCGGCTCTTCATCGGCGGTTCTGGAGGATTTTCTTGAACTGAACTCTGCTTTGGACCCGATGATGCAGCAGAGAATCGCTCCACCAGACGCATAGATCCGCAGCATCTAGATGGTTCAGTGTCAGTCGTAGGATTTTAGCTCCTTCCTCATAAAATGAACCAAACCTTTTGATTTATGTTGAAGATGATCGTTTCCTCTTCATGGGGGAAGTCAGTGAGTCGACTGAACGTCGGCCCAATCAGCCGCCGCCATGATGGATCGTGAAGAAGAAGCTCAGAGAATCTGGACGAGTTTTTAGTTCCGATCAGAATGCGACATTTTTTCACACTAATATTCCAGGACATTTATTCTTTGGTTTCTCATCAATAAATCATAATCATCACTTTCAGGAAATTAAGGTTTGGATTATTTCACTCAGTTTCAGTTTGTAATAAACTTTTTAAATCCTTTAATGTTTTAACCCTTAATAGGACAAACACAAGGCGAGTCCGTTTGAATTTAGATGGTTTAATGTTAATGCCATGCTGTGTTTCAATAAGAACGTTACAGATTCCCCGTCTGTGGCTCCAGTCAGATATCCAGTAGTACAAATCAGCTCCAAGTTACATCGAAGGAAGCAAAAAATGAAACCGCTAGCAGAATAAAAGCAGGGGAGAAGCAGCAGAGGCTAACGCGTTAGCTCCTGTCGGCGCTGCCGCCCCCCCTTCAGACATCTTCACTCGTCGGAGGAGTCGTCTCCTCCCGATGTTTGAGCAGAACCAAAGCAGTTAGAAATAAGTTAGTGTCGGGAAGTTTAGCATGTGAAAAAACACGTACAGTATTTCAGCACAAAACACAGGAACGGCTACGGAACAGGACTGACTGTAGTGTAAAACATCAAGCACTTCTTTGCCCCACGTGGATATCGCACGTTCTGCGATCTTCCCCGGATGATCCGACCCATCTAACAATCGGCAGCGGAAAAACCTCCAAACTGCCCGTTAAAAAAAAAACACCATAAAGGTCAGAGAATCTGTTCGACGCGTCGCTAAAAACGGATAAAACGGCTCCCATGACTACTCTTCAACATTATTAGTAATAAAAGTTAATTTCTGTAATTACATTACCAAAAAAAATCTCAATACATCCAGCAACTGATAAAAATGTGGAGGAAAAAACAAAAATACAACAATGAAAACAAAGATTGTTTTTTTTTTTGTTTTTTTTTTCCAGAACTACTTGTACCGGGACAAAAACAGCAAACAGGGACCCTTTGATCTCTTTCTCTCCAACCTTCACTTCCTGTCGCAATTAAGTGGTTTTTTTGAAAACTGTGCGAGGGCTGATACAAAAATAAGAGAAAAATCAACTCGCTAGCTCCACGGCCCTGCAGGGTCAGCGAGCTCCAGAGGGGGGGAGGAGGAGTGTGAAGGGGCGGGAGCGGGGCATCGAGTTGTTGGCGGTCCGTGGCAGAGTCTCACTGGGCCTCGTCCTCCACGTCCTGCAGCGTCTCTTTGTTCTGTTCTTCACCTGCTGGACGGAAGAATTAGAAAAGATCAGCAACAAATCCTCCTTCTCACATATAAAGCCTTAAATGGCCAAGCTCCATCTGATATCAGAGATCTGATTGTTCCTTATGTTCCTAACAGAGCACTTCGCTCTCAATCTGCAGGTTTACTAGTGGTTCCTAGAATTTCTAAAAGTAGAATGGGAGGCAGATCTTTTAGTTCTCAGGCTCCTCTCCTGTGGAACCAACTACCAGTTTTAGTCCGTGAGGCAGACACCCTGTCTACTTTTAAGGCTAGGCTTAAAACTTTCCTTTTTGATAAAGCTTCTAGTTAGAGTGGCTCAGGTTATCCTGATCTATCTCTATAGTTCTGCTGCTATAGGCTTAGACTGCTGGAGGACATAGGGATGTTCTTTTTCTATGTCTGCTTCTGTCTCCTTGAACCCCAGTGGGCCTCAGCAGATGGCCGCTCACACTGAGCCTGGTTCTGCTGGAGGTTTCTTCCTGTTCAAAGGGAGTTTTTCCTCTCCACTGTCGCTACAAGCATGCTTAGTGTGAGGGATTGCTGAAGAGTCAATGAGTCGATGCAATCAGCTGGTTTTCCTTAGATAGAATCTGTAGAGTTGACACGTGTTGTGAATTGGTGCTATAGAAATAAAATGAATAGAATTGGATGCCAATAGTGTTGCATAAAAGACAAACATTTTGTAAATAAAGAATAGCGGAGTAGCGATCGTTCCTCGCGGCGTTTTACGGATCAAACTTCCGGCACTACAGGACCAATTAAAATGCTGTCCCTCCAATAGGAACAAGTCTTTGCTTCTAACCCCAGAGGGTAGCCCCGCCCCCAGTAGGGAAGACAATAAGATCTGGAAAATGTAATTTGAAAAAAAAAAAAAAAAAATCAAAATTCATAAAAAGCTATCAGCAAAATTATATATATATATATATAAAAAGGATTATTTTTAAATAACATTTCAATATTGCATTAGATGAAGTCCATTTTTATTTATGGACTGATTTTCAAAATGTCTTCCAATCACTTTTAAAGATTAAAATTTATTAATCTTCTAGGTTTGAGGTCCTCAACAGGGGGTCCGTGATCCCTAGGTGGTCCACAGAGGTACTGCATGGGGGTCACTAAAGCTTTAGTTGATTGAATTTTTTTTTTTTAATATTCCCTCCTGCAGTTTTTTCCACTAATTGAAACGTCTTTAAATCCACATGAACATGAATCCAACAGACTGTAGTAAACAGATAAATGGAGGCAGAAGATGTCTTTCAGTCATCAATGCTCACATTCAGAGACACACAGGAGCTCTTTCAAGCTGGGCACCGTTTCATTCACAACACCTGTCCCATCAACCAGGAATCAGAAATACTTTAATAATCCCAGGGAGGGATTACTTTAGTTACATTACTCCATCTGTAATAGAGTGACTATAGGACCAGTTTGATAGAACACTATTCTATGCAATATATATATAATTAGGGGGTCCCCGCTCCATCTCACCATCAGTTTGGGGTCCTTGGCCTGGAAAACGTTGAAGACTCCTGATCTAAAGGATGTTCCTCCTTCACTCTACCATCATTATTATTCTAAGTTTATTCAATTTTGCTTCCAGAAGCTGCAGGTCTCTTCCTCCATCATCATCATCATCATCAGAAGCTCAACCAGCTGATAAAGAAGGTCGGCTCTGTTCCAGGAACTCCTCTAGAACCTCTGGAGAAAAAGGGCTCAATAAACATCCCTAACTGCAGTAAAGCTTTACGTTTCCTCCTTGGATTCAGCGCAGCAAACAGATCCCTGCTCTCCTCTCTGTGACTCATTTTTGGATTATAGTCACTAAAAAGTTATTTCAAAGATATTATTGAAAAAGGTAAAACTCTAATATTAACTTCCCTCAGCCTTCAGAGTGGATCTCTGCCATCGATGGTTCCTGTTCCTGTCAGTCAGACCTCTGCTCCTCACCCAGGAGCCTCAGGCTGTCTTTCCTGTTTCAGCTCCTTCCAGAGATGCTCAGTAGATGGAGCTCAGGGCTCCTAGGGGCCCAATGTTTTCCTCTCTGTCATTCTTTGCCGTTTCTGTGTTTTGGCTCCTGATCCTGTGGAGCTGCTGCTGAGACCAAGCTGTCTGACGCCGGCATCGGTTAATCTTACCGCTGGTTAACGCCAGAGGAGCATGGGGCAAAGAGCCTAGAATCCAGAGGTTCTGAGTTCCAGACAGAGGGGCACAGACTGCCAACATGGGTCCCTGAACAAGACCCTTAACCCCCCCACTGCTCCCCAAGGGTATGGGTTAAATTCAGAGAGGGAATTCCGTTGCTCTGCGCTTAGAATAACAATAAAAGCTGGAATAACTTAAAGAATCACCAGCAGGGCCTGGGAGCCCGCGCTGGGATATAAATAAAAGCAGCGAATCTAATCCTGATGCTAAGCTAGTTTAGCATCAGGGAACATCTTCACTGTCAAGACTTGGAGAACAGAAGCAACATTTCATAGCTGCAGATTTTAAAATGATTTAAAATGTTTAAACAGGAAGTTAGAAGAGAAATGATCAGTAATCTGCTTATAGCGGGGGGGGGGGTCCTTACCCTCTCCCTGCATATCTGAAGTCCATAATGTCAGGTTGTCGCGTAACAACTGCATGATAAGCGTGGAGTCCTTGTAGCTTTCTTCACTCAGCGTGTCCAGCTCTGCGATGGCGTCATCGAACGCAGCCTTCGCCAACCTGCGGAGCAAAGATGGCCGATCAGCTCCAGGATCCAAACTTTAAACTTTTCTCCTTAAATCCTCTAAAATACACTAAAACAGGAAGGATGGCTTCAAACCCGACTCATCCATCCAATTTAAGGCTTTCTGCTTTATTTCTAAAATCATTTTCTTCTGTAAACAATTTTAGATTTTAGATCATAAAAAAAAGAGAGAAATTATCCTGTAGAATAAAAAAAACACAAATGTTAAAAACTTAAAGCGATGAGAAAGTGTGCCGTCTCCATCGGTTTATTTAGCTTCATGATCATAGCTCAACACCCTAAACTAACCATTACTGGTCCCTAACTAACTCTAAGCTGAAGCTAAACTTAATCACCTGAGTGAAGTTGCCCCCCCCCCCCCCCACCTTCTGCAAATCAGACCAAATTAGAGTCAAACGTTTGTGCTGCTTTGGCTGAAGATGTTAATGGAAATGTAAAGGTCAAAAGGTCAAACCCCGCCCACCTTCTTCAAATTAGGCACAATGGGCGTCAATAAACTCAGCTTTGTTTGTGCAGCAAAAATTTTTTATTTTTTAGATTTATATTCTATATTTAAAATACATTTTTGTAACTTAATATTTTTGTATAGCAAAAAAGCTCATATGTACTGCTGTCATTTTAATGATATTAATAATATTTTGTAGAGGTCATCAAAGGTCAGTTAACATCTGTTTTTGTTGCACAAACGTTTGACACCCATTTTGTCTAATTTGAAGAAGGTGGGGGGGCTGGTTGACCTTTGATGACCTCTAGAAACATCTCTTTATATCTTTAAAATGGTAGCGGCACAAACGAACATTTTTGTTGCACAAACGTTTGACACCAATTTTGTCTAATTTGAAGAAGGTAACTTCATCCACCCATTAGTCCTGAACCTTCAGAATCGTCTGCCCCTAAAAGCGCCCAGATGGTCATCAAACCGTTTTTTCCTCAGTGACAGTGAGCCATTCCTGGTTGAATCCGAGGAACGCGGCCGTTTGGAGGACGCTCACCTGCAGGCGCGGTCGGGCGAGTTGAGGATCTCGTAGTAAAAGACGGAGAAGTTGAGGGCGAGGCCGAGGCGGATGGGGTGCGTGGGCGGCAGCTCCAGCATGGCCAGGTCCGTGGCCGTTTTGTAGGCCACCAGGCTGTTCTCCGCCGCCTCCTTTCTGTTGTTGCCGGTGGCGAACTCTGCCAGGTACCGGTGGTAGTCGCCCTTCCTGACCGCAGGGGAGCAAACAGAAAGGAGCGAATGAGAAAACATCCAAACCTTCTCAGCGTCAGACTCCGGAAAGGAGAGAAAAACCAACATCATGTATGAATTATTGATCTACGGATTACACAAACACACACATACAGATATATACACACACACACAGGGTTTATACAGGAATGAAAAACTTAATTTTAATGCTCTTTTAATGCTCTTAGAAATAATTTTAATGCCACCAACAGGTACCGGTCGACAGGCTGCAGCCAGGTCCTGAATTTCTCGTTTTCCAGCCACTTTTGTTCAAATGTGCTTTTTTTCCCCCCCATTCTCTCACTTTTTCTCCGAATCAAGCTCCTTTTCTGAACATGCAGCTTTGCGATCAACCGGAAGCAGTTCCTCACAAATATATTGTGATATAATATGTCTGACTTAATCGTTTTTATAAAATGTTTTTAATAAATCATTTTAAATGCTACAATAAACAGATTTAATGAATTTGAATGCCAATTAAGGCCTTAATTAAAAAAAATTATAACTTTATAACTTAAAGACTTTTAAAGATTTTTAATGACCCGCGGAAACCCTGAGATATATATATAGATATGTGTGTGTGTGTGTGTGTACCAACAAACTTCCTGATGCAGACATGACGCTCTTTCTGCTGCCACCAAGAACCTTATTTCTTTCTTTATTTTTCTTTTTGAGGTAAACAGCAGCCAGGTTAATACTGCGATCAAATAAATCTTTTTCTGCAGACCGGGCGCCTCCGGGCGCATCGCTGCCCCCCTCAGGACTCTGACCTGTGCATCTTTTCCTGGGCGTTACGCTGCCGTGGTTATGCAGAAGTTAGGCTGCCGTTGGACAGAAGTTCTGGACTCGTTATAAATCCTCTTTGTTTACGTCCAACATTGAAAAAGACAAAGTGCATTGTCTGCCAATCTGCTGTATTCAGACCTCCTCAGGTGGAAAAGTTTCACCTGGTTTAATTTCATAAAACATCGTCTTTAAGGAACCTTTGGGTTTCTGATTATTAATCGATTAATTGAGAGAATAAATCAACATATTGAGTGATTTTAAATAGTTAGTTGCAGCCCTACTTCACCAAACGATTCGATTCTCCGCCTGGAGGAGTTCCTGATCTTCCCTGAGCTTCCCAGCGTCCATCCCTCACCCGACACCCAGCGCTGCAGGAACTTACATCTTGTTGTAGAAGACCTTGGACTCTCCCATGGCTGCAGAGGGCAGCAGATGTCTGTCCAGCGCGTCCAGGATGTCCCCACAGATGGACTTCAGCTCCTTCTCCACCTGCAGACACAGAGTCACTGACCGGGTCAGAAACATATACACCTGATGATGGAGACCAATCAGAGATCCTCCATCAACGCGTTCAAAGACTCGAACAACCACCCAGCATGATGCAGCATGATGGGGGGTCCATTTATTTATTTGTTATATTTATTTTGGTCACTTTTCTGGTCACCTTAGTTTATTCTTTGTCAGTATTTATTTAACATAACTCAGGTCTCTTAAGTCATTTTTCTTTAAAACAATTCTGTTATGGTTAAAAAAGTTGGTTAAATAAAGATTTAATTCGAAGTCTGTGTTTTTGTTCTTTATTAAAATTAAATCATTTAGCAATATCATAAAAAGTCCAGGCAGAGCTGCACATAAAATATGGTTTCAAATCTTTTCAATAATTATCGATATCGATCAATATGCATTTTTTTTTTAATCAATAAGCTTTTTTTCTATATCGCCCAGCCCTAATGTCCGACCTCTTTATCCCATTCCTATTTGGAAAAGTCTGGAAACCAGGAATCATCTTTCCTCTCTATGAAGAGCAGCAGGAATATTTTAGTCTCTTCCTGCTTCTAATAAAAGCAGCAAAGGAAAAAAAAGGGTTTAGAGAATAAAACTTTGACATTTTCTCAGATTTGTTTTTTTTTTTTTTTTGGTAAGATACATTTTCATATTCTAATTTTTCATAATGTAATTATTTTGTTGTTTTTTCTGATAAAAGTTAAGAATTCCCTTCTTTTCAGATGAGGCGGGGCTTCCTCTGGAGCAGGAAGCAAAGGAGCATTTCTACTGGTTGATGGATGTCTGCAACATTTGATTGGTGGAGTTAAAGTGAAGAGAATCTGATCATAAAATAAAATTAAAGGAAAAGTCGCTCACATTCAGAATCCAAACTTCTGAAAGTTCTTTAAATCTGAAATGATTCCATCCTGTTCAATAAATGATCAGTGTTTTTAATTCAGAGTAATTTTCATGTGAATGTGCTTTACTGGAGGCATCCATGTTTGTCAAAGAACACTACTGCCACCTACTGGTTAGTGACATTGTCACGGCGCGGTATCGGCTGTTGATCAAGTCCCAGTGCTGTATCTGGTGTTTGTCACAACGCGCTATTATCCAAGTCATCTTGAAAACATTCTTCTTCCAAATGTTGGCTACATATTACGGGTTTTTTCTCTGGCCAGAAGTTCGATGGCAAATCCTCCCTCTTCAAGTTGGCGATCCAACGACCAACCCGTCCGTGGAGGATCAGGAATCAGAAAGGTGGAATAACTCTTTTTTTCACTTTTACCCGATGTATTCCAGCATCCAGCTGCCATGCACGTGGGCATTGTCAGTTTCACTATAGCTCTGGTGAATTTCAATGGTGAAGTCCTCTGGAAATCTTCAATAATTGTTGTTGATTGCAGATGTGTCTAGTAGTTCCCATTGATTTAGCTTGGAAAGCGGGGAGAATGGCGCTAGGCTTACCGCACCGTGACGTCACTGCTGGAAGATGGCAGGAGGGAGGGGCTACTATATTTGGGCAAACATGGCCGCTCCCAGACTCTGTGATTGAGACGAAAATGGTTTAAATTTTTTTACTGATTAATGCTAAATTTATTAAATCACCGCAAACATCTTAGTTTTAGGTATAAATAATGATCCATCGATTATTCCTCGCTGACTGAACTTTTAAAAGGAACCCAGGTAATTTCTTCTTCCTTCCTCCCTCCTTCTTTTTCCATAAGATTTTTCATTGTAAAATAACAGAAATCATTTTTTTATGTTCAAATCTTCCAATCTTGGATTTAAATTAATCAATTTCTTTACTATTATCTAAAAAAATGAATCATCTATTTTCCAAATATTTTCTTTTATCTCCATTTCAGGCTTTCAACTCTTCAAATATCATAAATTATGTTCACTAAATGACTCAGTCATTCCATTTGTTAGATATTAAATCAAATTGGGGAAAAAATGGCCGCTTTCAGACTCCGTGGTCTGATTAACGCTAAATTCAACGTATCAGCTTTAGGTCTAAATAATGATTCATGGATTATTTCTTACTGACCAAACTTTTCCTTTAACATAAGCTTGCAAAAAGAAAACATCTGTATAAAATATATTTTTTTAAATAATTTAATTTGAAAAATAAAAAAAATATGAAAAAGTTATTTGAAACAAAAAAAACAACTTACTCTCAAAACCTTTTTTTTCTTCAGATTTGATGTTTAATTTCTCCAATATTCTTGCAGCTAAATCTGTCCTAACATAATCTGGATTATTCCCGAACATCAGAACGCCATCCATGAACGGCGGAACGCCCTGCTGGCGTCCTCAGACTGATTCGATGAGGGGAAGCGGCTGAACGCCGTCCACGCTCCATAACCCCGATCCAGGAAAGGTTTTCCCAGAAACATCTCTGCTGCCATTAGATCAGCGTGCTCTAACAGCCCGGCCTCTCCCAGCATTAAACCTGCTCTTATTCCTCTCTATAAAAGCCTGAGTGATGCAGGGAGGACCTGCCAGCCATGACTCAGGCCACGTCCGTCCAGCTGCGGCGGCGTTCATGGCGGATCGTGATCTCACCGTCAGCAGGACGGATCAGAGCCGCTCTGACGCGACACGTACGTGAGAAAACCGCCTCCCTCCTCCCGAGTCATTTACCGTTTGCCTGTATTCCCGGATCATCTTCAGCTTCTCCTCTCCACCCTTGTTCTCTTCCCTCTGCTCGATGCTGCTGATTATCCTCCAGGACGCTCTGCGAGCCCCGATCACGTTCTTGTAGGCCACTGACAGCAGGTTCCTCTCCTCCACTGTGAGCTCCACGTCCATTCCTGCCACCTTCTTCATAGACTCCACCATCTCTGTTTGGGGAGAACACAAGTAGAAGCTTCACTGAGCAAACATGAGAGGAGATGCTCTGCTTTGCTAGCCTGATACCTGAACCAACAGGACATGTTTGCTTTTTAACTTTACAACCAATATCTGAAGGTATTAAAACAAAAATAATCAAATAAACTTCTTTAAGTGACGCTCTCCTGTAGGAGCAGCGCTCTGAGCTCCTCCAGGAAAGCTGTTAGCTAGCAGTGAATATAGATGTACATGTACGACCTTAAATAAACAAAAAAGACAAATTATACTCCCTATTTTAGGATGTAAAGCTTTGGTAACTTTGCTCAAATCTTAAGAAATTTCACCAGCAGCAGCTGCTGGACATCAACCAATGAGAGAAGCTGATCTGGGAGCTGGCAGGGAGTCAGACGCAGCACTGCTGATGCAGAGCGCTATGATCACTCCTCTGAAACTGTTTATTAACGCCTAAATTACCTTCAAATGTAGAAACCTGCCGGCAGAATATGTTGGCTTTTATTACAGGATTTATACAGGAATGAGAAACTCTAATTTAATGGTTTTTAATGCTCTTTTAATTCCCCTAGAAATAATTGTCATGGTTACTTGTTGATGGCATTAAAATAAAGCCACTTTTGTCGAAAGGAGCATTTTCCCATCTCTATCCTTTTCTCCGCCTCGAGCTTCTTTTCCAAACATGCGGTTTTATGATCAACCGGAAGCAGTTCCACCCACACATACAGTGATATATCTGACCGAATTGTTTTGAATAAACTTTTTTTTTTTTAATATAGCATTTTATATGCCCTGATAATCACATTTAATGAATTTTATTGCCAATTAAGGCCTTAATAAAAAAATAAACCCTGCATTATCCTGCTGCCTGCAGTTTGCATTACGTACGTGAAAAACGCTAAAAAATAAACCCAAGAGGCGAGCGGGCCTGAGGCAGCTGCTGCTGGGGATTCCCAGTGACAGCGCAGCGCCGGTATGTGGGGGTCTGAGCGGCTCCCACAGAGAAATAATCTTTGAAGGCAGGATGGTAATCTGGATGAACTGACTGCACAGACCATGTTTTCAGGAGGACTTTCTCACTTCAACATAGATTCTAACTACTTTCTACCCGCTGATCACAGCTAATATAGCAAAGCTGCTCTCTGGCATTGAACTCAGGAGCAGCAGAAGCATCTGGACTCACTTTACTCGACGGCTAACCAGCAGAAGGTTCTTTGATGGCGTTCAGTCTGAACATAGCATCAGATTTGCTGATAGTTTCAATTAACCTATGAAACATAATATTGTTCCTAAAAATTATCTCATGTTTTCCTTAAGAAATTTCCACCTCTATTCAGGCTCACATCCTTCCTATAATTAGGACTAAAGTAGTTTTGGAACAAAGACACAAAGTTAGCTGCTTTCCATCTCAAAATGCAGGAAATAACGTTTCAGAGTCTAAATTTCAACATTTTCTGGGGGAGGATCCCCTCGAACCCCCCTGCACCGTGCAGAGCCTAGAGATAAGATACACCAAGGTGGACAGCCTATGAAATAATCCCAGCTAAAAGCCTGGCTCCAGGTGGACCAGGAAATGATCTGCCATCCTTGTGCCATCAGCTCCGCTCGTCTATCGACACATTTTGGTTGGAAAAACATCTCCAAACCAGAGGATCTGAAATACAGCTGCAGTTTAAGCACATCTGAGATGTTCTGCTGCTGTTTTCAGAGTGAAGGCAAAGAACCAAATAACTTTCCATGGAGCTACACATAAGAACTGTGGTTTAAAAGGAGACGGGTCGTTTTTTTTGAACTCATTCGATTAAAATGTTCCTTAGAGAAATAATAACGCTCAGAGCAGTGGGGGAAAAACCTAAACATGGATCATTTATTCTAGCTCTGAAAAGAGGGATCCGAATCCGCAAAAAATAACGAAGAGCTGAAGTTAGAAGGAGGGTTATAAACACCAACCGGTGGGATTCTGGAATAACTGAGACTCTGGGAATTCCTGGAGGAGATCTGGGCCCTGAAACGCAGCAGAAGCTGAACTTTACAGGAAACAACTTGACATTGAATCAGCAGAGAGCCGGGAGATAAAACAACCAATCAGCGATCAATACCATCTGATAGACTGTTCTACTGCACCCCACCCACAACCACGCCCAATTCTGGGGCAGATGCAGGAGGGGGTTAACATTAGGCAATACTAGGCAGCTACCTAGGCCCCCCAAGTTCCTGGGGGCCACAAAAAACTCTGTTTCCATGTATGGTTAATACAACTATTCCTTATTTTTTCACATTAATTATGTTTTTGATAAAAATCCTTTGGCTAAAACACCATCAGAACGCTGATAATATTAAGCGTGTCTCAGCCCCCCCCTTCAGTGTCCACCATATTGGATCAGTCCATCTGCTGCACATGTTCAGAAAGGTCCAAACAGACAGCAGCAAACCATTTGAAAACAAACCATGCAAAGAGCAGTGTTGCCAACTTAGCGCTTTAGTCGCTATATTTAGCCACTTTTCAGACCCCTCTAGCACTTTGATTTCTAAAAAGCTCCTAGCGCCAAATCTAGAGACTTTTTTCTGCTACTGGAGACTTTGGAGACAACATCTAAAAGCAGCGAACTCTGCTCTCCAGAGCGAGTAGATTGGTAACCCCGCCTCCTGCTCTCCTCTATCTTGTCTGCTGTCATGATTCATGAGACATTCATGATTCCTTTAGAGACAGCATGAAAAGTCAGCTGAGTACAAAACATAGAGAGGAAAACAAGAAGAAAAGGGACAAGAAGAGAGGGACACAACCAAGAACAGATAATGGATGTCTATTCTATTAACATTTCTCTATCTGTAGAATGGGGCTGTTTCATGTCTTCTCCATTCAGGTGGCCCGCTGCCTGTCTTTGCCCAGGGCCCCACATTTCCTAAATCCGTCCCTGGGCGGATGGAGGACTTATTCCTGGTGTTTGGGCTGACCTCTGCTCAAAGGTCAAGTCTAAGCTAAGTTAAGGTTACATTTTAATTTATGAATCTTTTCCAAAATACCCAACAAGATGTGAATCAATAACTATCAGTACAGGCCGAGAGGAAAGACTAGTATGGAGAGGGCCCTGCCCTGTGGTGGACGGTGAGGGGAGATTTAGAGGGAATGTTGTCTCAATGATTCTTGACATCACATTATTTTATTTCAGTGATTCCATCAGATGAAGCAGCCTGCTGCAGATCCCTGATCAACGTCCGGCTCCTTCTTTTTATCAAAGTTCAGCTATTTTAAGGCTTCAGGAGGACTTGGAGCAAAGTTTGTCTACATTCCAGTCCGGTTAGAGTTTAGCCGCCCAGAGGTTCCTGTCAATGAGTCATGGTGCGTTCACTGACCGGCACCGGGCAACGTGTGACCGGTGGAGCCGAAACACCGGGGGGGTGGGGCGGAGTGATCGATCAGCGCAGCCCGCCTGCAGGAAACACCCCACAGAAAGGAACAGCTGCCTCCCCACTCCCACGCGTGTAATGCTCCACTTTGCATCGAGCTCCTGTTGGATGGGAGGAAGCTCAGATGCTAATAAAGGCCGAGCGTTAATGTCAGGGTAGGCATGGGGAGGCAGCCCCCCTGACAGCTCACGCTTCACTGAGCCGCCATTTTGTTTTAGCCACTGCGCTAATGTTAGCGGGAGTCAACAGAATTCCTGCGATATTCCTGAATCCAGCTGCTTCCCGACTCCTGGTGGGATTTTAACTTTCACTACTTTCCCTTAACAACAGATCATGTGTGACGTCATGTCAGCAAAGAGCAGGCCAATTAAAAACGGTGTTAGCAGGGCTAGCTAGTTTAGCTAGCCAGCTATCACTGAGCTTAAAGAGAGACAGATAGTAGCCGTGGAGGCGCCCCCCTCCCGGCCGGCGGCCCAGGCTTCCACTCACCGTCATATCTCTCCGCCTGCTCGGCGAGTTTGGCCTGATAAACCAGGTCCTCTCGTTCTCCCATGGTGTAGAAAGATGAGGAGATTCGGTGTCAAGCTGGCAAAGCTGGGAGTCAGATGTGTAACGAGCAGCCACGGTGGAGAGCCAGGTCCGTCGGCGGTTCCTAGAAACCAACTGATCGATGAAGAGAGTTCCGCCCCACCGGCAGCGCTGAGGGGACAGAGGAAAGATGGCAGCCGACCTCATCCGGGTCCCTTCATGTATGGCAGGACGTTTAACACATTATCCTACCAAGGAGTGTTAGGGCCAGCCTACAGATTGTTTTAAAACGAGAATAAAGTCCTAACATTATGAGAATAAAGTGGAAAAGTTATAAACATTAAAGCCGTAATTTTACAAAAAAATGAAATCTTACATTTAAGAGAGTAAAGTCGTAAAATTACGAGAATGAAGTCATAACTTCACATGATGCTCGACAATCCTCATTTTAGGGAAAGAAAAAGTCGTCATAAAATACAACTTTATTCTCCTAATTTTATGACTTTAATCTCGTTATTTTCTGACTTTATTCTTTTAATTTTAATTACTTTAATCTAATAATTTTGCGACTTTATTCTCAAAATTTTATGACTTAAATCTCGTAATTTTATGACTTTATTCTCGTTATTTTATTATTTAAATCTTGTAATTTTATGACTTTTATTCTCGTTGCGACTTTATTCTCGTAATTTTATAACTTTAATCTCATAATTTTCTGACTTTAGTTTCGTTATTTTATGTCTATATTCTTTTAATTTTAATGACTTTAATCTAATAATTTTTGCGACTTTATTCTCATAATTTTATGACTTTATTGTTGTAATTTTATGATTTTATTCTTGTATTTTTATGGCTTTATTGTCATTGCGACTTTATTCTCGTAATTTTATAACTTTAATCTCGTAATTTAATTACTTTATTCTCGTTAATTTATTGACTGTAATCTCATAATCTTGTAACTTCAACCTTGTAATTTTGTGATTTTAATCTGGTAATTTTATGACTTTAATCTCGTATTTTATGACTTTATTCTTCAAATTTTAATGACTTTAATCTAATAATTTTGCGATTTTATTCTCATAATTTTATGACTTTATTGTCGTTATTTTATTATTTAAATCTCGTAATTTTATGACTTTAATCTTGTAATGTTAGGACTTTATTCTCCAATCAAAACATCTCCAGCCTGGCCCTAACACTCCGTGGTATTAATCCACCTAAAACATCTGAGCAGGGAAAGAAGTGGCTTTTATTTTGGTAAAAGAACATTTCAAAATGACTGAAGTTGAAAATAAATTAAAAGATAAATAAACAAAAATTAGTCCATCCAACTTCAAATTAAGCACTTTTTAATAATTTGTCAAAAACTAAAGACATTAAGCAAAAAACATAGAAATTAAAACTTAGAAATACGAATAGATAGATACTTTGAACTTAAACTTTCCTGTGCCCATCGCACATTTATTCACTTTCATCATTGGGTCTCATTTAAATATTTCAGATTCTTATGGAGGGAATTTTATTCCAATATTGTTGTAAATAAGACATTTTGTGAATTGAAATATAAAACAAATACACTTAATAAGTAAAACTTAAAAATACATTTATTCCCTAAAAGATGTTTTGAGAGGAACTTTGCTCTTTTCTAAGATTTTGCTGTATATTTTTTTCCAAATGAAATTTAAAATTGTTCTCAAAATTTTATAATCTCATTTTTTATCTTTTTATTCTAAATCGTTTTGCTAGACTTTAGATTGAGTTTTACGAGCTGGATTCTTTTCAAACAGTGTTTTGCAGATCAAATCAGGTGCGTTCCAGTTGAGCTAAACCCGCTTGGATTCGATTGGTGTTGGTCCGTTCGCGGTGCACGCCGCTTCTGTCCAACGTCTGAAAGATCAGGACGAGACCAGCCGCCGGAGTTGATCAAAAGCAACTGCTGCGGTTGCAATGCTTGGTGCATGATGGGAAAACTTCCTCCTGTCACTGGGGTGCAGACAGGTGATTGTAACATTAATGGATTTCTAGTTGGTAGGCTTATTACAATTAATAAATTAGAAACTTGTATAAGTTATTATTAACAGGCAGAACTGAACAAACTGAGACTCAATGCGGTGCAAAGGCCTCCAAAGGAAACCGTATAATTGTTTTATTAAGTATTTTCTATCAATAAGTTGCATTAAGCGAAGGTGATGCCGCTGCCAGTTGCTCCGTCCAGCTTCTCCTCAGACCTTCAACTGCTTCCATGAAAACAGCCATAATCTCCACATTCCAGGTGAGGCGCTCTTCATCTCCAGGCTGCTATTCTCTTCATTTCTAGCCCAATCAAAACGCTCGCTCTTGACCAATAAAAATGTTGCTAACGTCCAGCAGACCAATAGAAACTCATCTTCCCACTCTCTCCAGAGGAAAGCTCGCCCCCTAGAGGTGATGTGGAAAACACAATTTGTGTGTGGAAGGAATGACACTACAAAACGGAATATTTGAAAAAAAAAAAAATCTTAAATATAAAACCAGTAAAGACAAATAAAAAATGTAAATGTTAAAATTAAAATATGAAATAACCTAAATCTGAGAAAACAGCAGTTACTCTAAAACCTTTGATCTATTTCCTTTCTTAGTTTTAATTGACAAAATCTGAGCTCTGCTTTCCACAATAATGACACAAATATCACTCCATACATTATCAGAAACATTTTGTTTATTTAATTCATCTTTTCATTTTTCTCTGACTGTTTTTAAATCTTTTGTCAAAACCCACCTTTTGACTGTTGATACCGAGCAAGACGTTGGACTTTATTTGATGCTTTTCCCTCATTTTATTGCTTTGATTGTGTGAATGTTACTTTTACTCCCGTTTTAGCTGATTGTCCTTTATCTGTAATGTTTAAGCTTTAAGGTTGGTTTTTCTTTCTTAACATAGATGGCTTCCTTCATGTCCCAGCATGGCGTGAAGGAAACCATCTAAAACTGTGACAGAGGCGGGGTCTGCGGTGTTTTAGATCCCGTTCTGAGCTCCTATAAAAACCTCCTGATGACTCGGCAGTGCATTTCTGGAATAATTTGATATGTTTCAGGTTTTTTTGTAGCTTGGAATGACCATTTCTGTCTCATGTTTTCTATGAATAAAATTCATAGAAATATTCTGGTAGACTCTAATGTAATGATGGATCAGTTCAGTAGCTTGTATTTGTCCCAGTATGGGAAATTTATGTGCAGTAGTAGGACACCTTTCACACACACATTCATATCTCACAAATAAAAAATAAAAGAAACACAAAAATATTATAAAAAGATACAAGTAAGGTGGATAAAACAGAGGGAATAAAGGAGTGTTCCTATCTATTGGTCTGAGCTGGTGGGTATTTAAAACGGGAACCAGAGGATAGAAACTGGAATTCGTTATGTAGGGGATGGGTGTAATTATCCAAGATGGACGCCTTCCTGATTACCTGATCTTCATACATTTCAGTCATGGTTTTCTGTTAAACACCTGTGATTTTACTGCATATCTGCCATCATACCTGCCATCTGCTGTGTACCAGCAGAGAAGGTAAGTATGGACTCTATAACAGATCTATAGAACATGGTCATCAGAGTCTTGTCAACCTGGAACCTGGCTAACTTTCTGAGGCAGTATTAGCGCTGCTGCCCTTTCTCACACAGCATGTCTGTGTTGCTGTTAATTTGTCATCTATGATAGACCCAAGATATTTATACTGGTGAACAATTTCACTGTTTTGCCCATTCATGATGGTTGTAGAGGTTTTGCACTTCCTTTGTTTTAGTGACGTTCAGATCCAGCATGGCTTCCTGGCACCAGTTTGTGAAATAGTCCATGATGAGGCCATGTGCTGTTTCACCGTCACCCAGCAAGCTCACAATGACAGCGTCGTCCGCAGACTTGACAATGTGGCGATTGTCAGTTTCAGAATGACAGTCATCAGTGTAGAAGATGTAGAGAACGGGAGATTAAACGCAACCTTGAGGAGAACCTGTAGATGTAAAAGAAGGATGGTCGATTACTCTCACTCGCTGGGATCGGTTGGTGAGGAAATCCAGTATCCAGCCAGAGATGCTGGAATCCAGTTGGAAGCGGTGTAAAAGCTTTTGCACCAGTAGGTGGGGCTGGATGTTTGACATTGAGATTCAACAGGGTTATGGTTGCATCCTGGACCCCTTTATTTGTTCTGTATGCAAACTGCAGGGTGTCAGGGTAGGAGGCCCAAAGTTGTCAGAAAGAATCTAATTTAATAATCTTTTTTTCAGTTTAATTAATGAAATCAACCTTTAAAACCTGTTTTTACTCAGGTTATTGTTTTTGTAATATTAACATTTGTTTGATGACATTTTCTTTTTTCACCTTTACAACAACAGAGACGCCATCAGCAGGATTTTGGATTCTCAAATATATCAAACCTCTTTCATTCCCGCATAAAATGCTCCTTTAGTGAACGTCTTGGTCTGTTTTACATACATTGGTTTAATTATATTTAAAACAGCTTCATTATCACCTTTGTAGCTTTCCATCATATTCAAATGACAAAAATAATCAAGGTTTTTGTTTCACTTTTACCATCACTCTTGGTAGAAGTTTCAGACTTTCTAATCCTCTTTATTTCATAGCAGCGTTCTTGGCCAGAAGAGAAGCACTCCTGCTTATGGGATGAAACAGGATGCGTTAGAAGCTAAAGGCTAATGGCAGCGTCCAGTTAGTCTTCTTATGAGTAACTATTGAAATGCCTTAAAATCAGGAGTATCAGACAGACAGATCCTGCTGTCCAACCCTCAGTGATGATTGTCTAAAACAAAGCGTCTTCTTAGCACCTTTTCTTGTTCCAACACATTTGCTAAAAAGAAATCTATGACCTCCTGACCCAACTATGTTCAATTCTATTCAGTTTATTTCTATAGCTCCAATTCACATCATGTCATCTCAGGTCACTTTCCAGTTCACCAGATCATCCAGTCAGATTGATTCAAAGTTTTCTATCTAAGGAAAACCAGCTGATTGCATCGACTCATTGACTCTTCAGCAATCCCTCACACTAAGCATGCTTATAGCGACAGTGGAGAGGAAAAACTCCCTTTGAACAGGAAGAAACCTCCAGCAGAACCAGGCTCAGTGTGAGCGGCCATCTGCTGAGGCCCACTGGGGTTCAATGTGTGAAGTTATCAGCTGTTTCATTCAGTAGATTTTCCTAACAGAGCACTTCGCTCTCAATCTGCAGGTTTACTAGTGGTTCCTAGAATTTCTAAAAGTAGAATGTGAGGCAGATCTTTTAGTTATCAGGCTCCTCTCCTAAGCAGCCAGTACAGAATACTTTCCATAATTCTGCTTCATTCTATCTCTATAGTTCTGCTGCTATAGGCTTAGACTGCCGGAGGACATAGGGACCCCTTTTTCATCATTCTGCTTCATTCTATCTCTATTCTCCAACTTTGTTGTTTAACTAACAAATAATTCACTTTTTCAGATTGTCAACGTTCTTAGCCGTTTGTTTCAGAGGAACTTACGAAGCTAACTTACCAGGGCTGTGTTTAAAAAAACAAAACATTCTGCATGGATTGAATTTCTGAAGATCAATATATACGCATAAAGGTTGGTTTTTATAAATTCATTTTTAACCGTCCCTCCCCAGGATGGTAGGAGGCAGATGGAACTACGATCTGCTCAGTTCTGGCGAGCGGACCCCCTTCAGGCTGGGATTTATGGAGGGAATTTTGGTACATTATTGTTGCAAACAAAGAATTTTGTTTTTTAAATGAAAATTTGTAACATAGCCGTTTTCTCCAATTTTATGTATATAATAAAAACAATGGAACTCTATTTATCTCACAATGGAGAAATTCCCTCTCTGCATTTAGCCCCTCCCCCTGGGCAGCAGTGTGGGGATAAGGGTCTTGCTCAGGGACCCAGAGTGGAGGCAGTGGGTTTCAATCTCTCAACCTCAGGATTCCCAGCACCATGCTCTAACCACTAGGCCACCACTCCCCATTCATTTATTTTCCCATTTTGTTTATTCCCATATTACAGAGTATTAGGAACAGGCTATAGATTATTTTTTTTTTAGAATAAAATAACATTTTGAGAACAAAGTCATCATACTGCGACGGAGTATTAGGGATAGGCTAGAGATTTGTTTCATTTTGAGAATAAAGGCACAATATTATGAGAATGTCGTACCATTACAAGAATAAAGTGAAAAAAACTATAAGAATAAAGTCATTAAACTACAATAATGAAGTCGTAAAATTACGAGAAACAAGTTGTATTTTATGTTAACTCTTCCCAGAATCCCTTTCTTCCCTAAAGTGAGGAATGTGGAGCATCGTGTGAAGTTCTACTTTAGCATCGGTTTGACAAATCAGGAAATCTTTCAGCAGCAGCATCAAACTGGGCAGGATGTCAAAGTGGACTCTGGTTGCTGATTGGTGGAGCTGGTCGGCCGTCATCTGGTGGGCGGAGCTCCAAGCTTTCTTTCTGAAAGGGTTCGTCTTCAAACCGAATTCTACAAATTTCCTTCTTTTAAAATGTTTACAGATCATATTCTCTTTTCTTCTGGGGGCGGGCTTTACTCGGGGGCTCCTATTGGTCTGCTGAACATCAGCAGCAATATTTTTATTGGACAACAGCGAGGGTTTGAAAAGGGCTGGAAGATAACATGAAATATGACTACATAAAAATAATGCAATTCATCATAATGTAATCAGAAAAGTAACGTTTGAAAAAAGGAAAAAACATTTATATATGTAAAACAAATAAATTGAACAAATAAAATCTGTATTTTTTAAAATTAAATATTGAAAAAAAAAGCTTATTCAAAGCTAACTTCTGGAATGCATCCCTTCTTTGAATTTCAGGTTTTATAACTTTTGTTTTTTATTTTCATTTACAAAACCTGTTTCTTACAACAATAATGGAACACGGTTGCCTCCGTAGGGAATGAGCTGCTAATGGAACCGCTGCCAGAGCAAAGACTGAAGCTGAGGAAGAGCGACGTCCTCCTTAAATTAAACTTTCTGCATGACGGACTTTAGCTTATTGGAGCAACAGCAGCAGCAGCAGGAACACTTCATGGTCCCTTTGAAAAAAAACGGTAAGTTGCCCTATAAAGTTTTAAAAGAGCAGGATCATCTCCGCTGACGTTCCTCCTAATGATCTATGATGTGTCTGAACGTTTCCCATCTGAGCTTCTCAAGTTCAAACAGCAAAAACGATGCAAACGTGTTTCATGTTGGACTTTATTTACTAGTATATTAACACATTACATGCTACTGAAAATAAAAAGGTAATTTCAATTGTCTTGAAAGAATCTAGTGTTATAATAAAATGGCACATTTCGATCTAACAGTTTCCGCCGCATCAATCGTCCCTCCGAGGGGAAACCAACCACTTCATGCAGGGCTTTAAAAAAATACTTCTTGGTGGTTTTTCATTGGCAACACAATCGTGGAAAGATGAGCTTTGAGGCGGAGCAGCAGAAAGGAGCCGGATCGGGTCGGAAAGAGAAAAACAGACATGAGGTGGAAGCTGGCAGAAATAAAAGGTCAGACGGGGCGGAGGAGGAGGAGGCAGGACAGGAACGCACTGATGGAGCAACCTTCACAAAAATGAACGAATTACTCCGTTAATCCAGAAATTACTGGAAAGAATATCAGCCTTTAATCTCTGATAATCCCATTAAAATTAGTGGAGAATCGTTAAATCTGAGCACTGAGTGGCGTCTCCATCTGATGGAGAATAACCTGCTGCGAAAATACGGAGAGAATTTGATTCCATTATTGGTTGTAAATTCAACAAAAAAAAAAATTAATCTAGGAATCATTTGAAAAGATTGTGAATCAATAAAAGGCTTTGAGAGCAACTTTGCTCTTTTTCATAGGTTTTATTTTATTTCATTCTTATTTTTCATATTTCATACCCAACCAACATTTTTTTCTACTTTAATCAGATTAGGATTGGGATTGAGGTGAGGATCACGTCCCTGCAAATCATAAAACTCAATCTAAAAAACTGAAACATTCCAAAATATAAAATCTGAAGAAATTATTCATTCCCAGATGTTTACTTTCTAGATTTTTTTCAAACTTCAAATTGACAAAACATGTTTTTTTTTTGCTTGTAACAATAATGGAACAAAATTCCCTCCATAAATGAGGCTTGGATGAATCAGATCTAACAGAGGAAGACGTCCACCTCTGAATGCTGCTGCAGCGGCGCCATCTACAGGCAACAGCAGCGCTAGAGCAGAGGACGACTCAGATTAAAGTCTCCATCAGGATGATTGTCAAAATGAAACACGTTTCCTAAAGGGGCGGAGAAACAGAAAAACCACCATGAACTCCAAACAATCAGCCGGTTTCTTCTGCAACTAAAAGGCTTTAAATAAAAGATTAAATGAGGAAGCACCAAAGGAAACTAAAATAAAATAAAGAAATAAAAGAGTTCATGGAAGGTTTGAAAATGGAAAGGACCAGTACAAAAAGACACCACCTGCCTTCCTTCACTGCAGCCGCCTGCTTAGTATGCAGACGCAGACGGCTAATGTGTCCTAACTAGTATGGTGGACACACAGATGGCTAATGTGTCCTGGCTAGCGTAGTGGGCACGCAGACTGCTAACGTGTCCTAGCTAGTGTGGTGGACACGCAGACGGCTAACGTGTCCTGGCTAGCGTAGTAGGCACGCAGACTGCTAACGTGTCCTGGCTAGTGTGGTGAACACACAGATGGCTAACATATCCTAGCTAGTGTGGTGAACAAGCAGACGGCTAACATGTCCCAGCAAGTGGTAGCGCCGCCTACATTCACTCTGTTTTACTTCAGTCATTTCCATCAGATGGGGTGAGGGGGGTCAGGTCTTCCGTCCTCGCAGTGTTAAACCCCCCAAATTAAATGTGCATCCCAGACAAAAGCAGCTATGAAGACGACTAGGAGGATAAAAACAATACTGGAATGAGAACCACGGTTACCACGGTTACATGGGTCCATGACGACGTGTTCTACGGATCCTACATGGGTGTAGTTGGAGGGAGAAAGGGCCTCAGGTGGGAGGACACGGCGTCCGCCTCTCTGTCCGCTCGCCGCTGCTTCCCACTCTGCACTCCGTTCACCTTCATGTCGGTTTTCTGAAGCCTGCCGCCGCCGTTCACCTCAACGCCGCTGCTTTCATGTCCACGGAGATGGGTGGGGCGGGGGATTAGTGTCGTGCTCTACAGCGTCTCAGGGCTTCAGGAGAGAGCGTGTGGTGGATAACAGGAAGGCGGAACAGAGTGCCTCTCCTTGTTGAACCGGTAATGTCACCGGGGCTAATCATGCTAGCATTTAATCCAAGCGGTCTCTGGAGGACGTCTTCACACGGCCGTCAGAGATCCGTTTATTCCAGCGGCTCTGAGGAAGCCGACATCCGTCCGCCGGTAGCAGCTCTGGTTGGTGCATCTCTACTTCAAAGACATGAATGCAGCCAATGAGGGCCGAGGAAATGGCAGCAAACATCTACGGGGCGGGACACAGGAAGTGGAGCGTCCCTCCTGTCCAGGGAGCAGCTGGGGGACGTGGATCACGGTCTTTGTTCTTGGTAATTCTCAGTACTTGGTGCTGCTAAATGCTGAGGGAGGGGGGAGAATGGGTGAGGGCAGGGCTAATAGTAGTGTAGTGTCCGTGGGTGCGGGGGCGGGCCGCCCTCAGCTCAGCTCGTCCTCGCCGCTGTGCTGGTCCAGCAGTTTGACGTGTGTGAAAGGAAAGTGGCCGTGCTTGCCTTTACATTCGCCCTCCCACTGGCCGTTCACGTTTATTTTGGTCACCTTCACCATGTCGCCCACCTGGGGGGGAGAGAGGGAGAATGGGTGAGGAACAGAACCATCATCAGACAGATGAACACAGCAGCTCCTCATTTCAGGAGGAGTTTCTATGAGGTCTGAGCAAACAGACGGTCCAAGGTTCAAGGCCGCCATGATAGCGAGCGATAAGTCAGGAAACGGCTCAGTCATCACCTGATCGGACGGCGCTAACCTCTGGACCGCCTCTCCACGGCTAAGCTAAGCACCATGCTGACCTGGACTGCACACCCTCTGACTATCCAGACGTTTAAAAAACAATAAAAACATTTATTTTTAGAAGAATTTATGAATGTTAACCTTTTATAATTATGTCACTGATTTATTTACTCATGTAAACATGTTTACTCTGGTTTCTGTCCAATAAAGCTCAATTATTATCAGTTATTAGATATATCAAACTAAAATAGCTGTTGAAACAACCAAATATTTAGAAATAAAAATATTTAAGATTAATAGAAGTGGCCAAACTTTTTCATATGACTGGATTTATCTTTATTTAGAATAATAATGAATAAGTAATAAGTTCCTCATTTGTTTCATCTCCTCTAGTTTCTTATTGAGTGAGAGAACAATAGAGACCGTTAATCACCGATTTAATTAATTACTGATTAATCAGTGATTCATCAGTTAATCAGATTAATCTGTGAATAATCATTTAACCAGTAATTAACTATTAATCAGTTAATTTATCAGTAAATCGGTGATTAATCAGTGGTTGATCAGTTAATCGTTCCAGTTGTTTTGATCACTGATTAATCTGTGATCAAAACAACTGGAACAAGTAACAGTTTATTTATTTTTTTTATTAGATGCTGGGCTCTAAGGGACGCCAGGCCCTCTAGGGGGCGCCGGGCGGGCCCTCCAGGGGGCGCCGGGCCCTCCAGCAGAGCCTCCTGATGGGCGCTGCAGGAGATCTGAGCTGATCATTAACTGTTCAGGGCCGATATGCTGAGTCACAGAGCAAAGCCGGCTGCAGGCGAAGGATCCGGCGCTCCTTTCCACACCTCGCCAAACAAACAGACCAACATCAAACGGGGAGAAACGAACCACCAGCTCCTGCTTGCGCTCCATCAGGACCCAAAAGACCAAACGGTGGATCTGCTCTGGAGCTCAGCTGCACTGCAACCTTCCAGGAAACACAAACTATTTCCTCCCACAGACGGCCTGGTATGAGGGGGTCCCGCCATCATGTCCGGATGGTTAAAAACAGTCGGCACACGGCGCGGCCAGATGCTTCATCCACACAGACCCACAAACGCCGTCTGATCCACCAGATGCCAACCTTTAACCATCTGCTCACAAGCAAAACGCTCTGTGGTGAGAAGTCACCCTGGAACACGGCGGTGGCAGCATGATGCTGGTTTTACTGAAAACTAAACTCAGGATTAACCCAAACCTGGATTAGGGAGATGGATCAGTGGGTTTACCTCCAGGGCCAGGGCGGTCTTGTCGTAGGCGTTGGGAACCCTCTTCTGGATGGCCCTGGCGAACACGGGCCCGTTCTGGAGGTTGGGCAGCGGCGTGGGCTGGGCGTACTGGCTGGGGTCTCCCAGCAGCGGCGCTCCGGACAGAGCGGCAGAGCTGTTAGAGTTCCCGTGCGCCGCCATCCCTGCGGGCGGCACTACGGGCCCGCCGGCCCCCGCCGCGGCGCTGGGCGAAGCCGGCCGGTACTTCTCCACGTACGGCACCGGGATCATCCCGGTTTTCCCTTCAGAGTTCTGGGCGTTCCACCACTGCTCCTCCGGCTTCTCCAGCACCCGGAGGATGTCGCCCATCCGGAACGGGAGATCCTCGTCGTCGTTGCCGGGGAAGTCAAAAAGCGCGCGGACGAACTCGTCCTCCAGGCGCGGAGGGGCCCCGCCGCCCGGAATGAAGGAGGGGTGTTTGGACTTGTTGATGGGCTCTATCAAGGTGGTGGTGTCCAGGTAGTGGATTTTGTAGAACTCCAGGAGAGCAGGAAGAGCGTCAAACTCCTGGTCGCCGATGCGGAACCTGGGGAGGCCCAAACCTGGAGAGAGAAGGAAGTCAGATTATTTAACCCCGCCGGGCTCCACCAGCAGGGGCAGGGCTAAGGGGGGGCCAGCGGCCAATTATTGCCCCCCACCACCATTTTTTCCCTCCAATACAGACGGCAGAAGCAGTAATACCCTGAAGTGAACGCTCCAACTTATTTTACATTTTAATGTTTCCTATATTAACAGTTAATTAACAAAAACACTGGTTAATTATGAACATTAATGTGCTAACATTAAAGATGAAAGCATGTTTTCCTCATTTAAATAAGCGCTGTTTAAAACTGTATGACCAAAGCATAACTTTGATATGATAATATGTTAAGAGCTATCTCTATAGTTCTGCTGCTATAGGCTTAGACTGCTGGAGGACATAGGGACCCCTTTTTCATCATTCTGCTTCATTCTATCTCTATTCTCCCACTCTGCAGAATCTGTTAGTTCAATCTCTAACATTCTGCTCTCTCTGCTTTTTCTCATAGTAGCTTCATCTGGTCTGTTCCTGTTTGGCTGTGACTCCATCCTGGAGAGAAATATCAGCTGTGCTGCTGCCATCAACACCTTTGTTTCTAGATGCTGGAGCTTGGCCTGTTTTCCAGTGTAGTCCTGTTTCTCTGACTGTGACTAACTGGATGTGCTCTCTTCATCCTCTGACATGGGAGCTGGCTTTTATGCAGAACAATTATTGATAAAAGTATGTTAGTAATGACTATGATTAACATGTTCGCCCCAGAACTCAAACTAGAAAGATTTCTCTCCTCTAAGCCTTTTATTTAGACGCCATGGATGTTTAAATATATGCGTCTATTTGTTAGCAGTACTTTATAAAACCTGGAACTAAACGCTATTTCTGAAATGTTGAATTGAGAAACGTCTTCAAACTTTGAAACAAAGTCCAGTGGATTGTTTTTAATTTTTTGGAATGACTCCCCAAATAATGCCTTGCGACCCCCCCAAGAGGATCCTGACCCTTATTTTGGGAACCACTAAGCTAGAAGAACCAAAAAGCTAATTTCTATACCTAGATGCAAGTCCATAAATGATTGCAAATGTTTATTTATTTCACCATGAAGTTATGGAGAGGTTCTAAAGCTGAACGGCTTCGAGTTCAGGGAAGTTCTGAAGGACAGGGGCGGATTTAGGAAAAGTGGGGCCCTAAGCAAAGACGGGCAGGGGGCCTCTGAATGGAGAAGACATCAAACAGCCCCATTCTCCAGATAGAGAAATGTTAATAGAATAGACATCCATTATCTGTTCTAGGTTGTGTCCCTCTCTTCTTGTCCCTTTTCTTCTTGTTTTCCTCTCTATGTTTTGTACTCAGCTGACTTTTCATGCTGTCTCTAAAGGAATGAAAGATTTTCTCCAAGCACTAAGCTCACTTAGCTGATTGCTCCTTCCTGTGTTTCCAAAAAGGCCAAAGTAAATAACCCAGTCCTTCTTTTCACTGTAGACAAGCCATGATCTGCTTCTCTGTTCTCCATTTTTCATTTGGATGAAATAATAGCTGCATGAATCATGACAGCAGACAAGATAGAGGAGAGCAGGAGGCGGGGTTACCAATCTACTGGCTCTGGAGAGCAGAGTTCGCTGCTTTTAGATGTTGTCTCCAAAGTCTCCAGTAGTAGAAAAAAGTCTCTAGATTTGGCGCTAGGAGCTTTTTAGAAATCAAAGTGCTAGAGGGGTCTGAAAAGTGGCTAAATATAGCGACTAAAGCGCTAAGTTGGCAACACTGCTCTTTGCATGGTTTGTTTTCAAATGGTTTGCTGCTGTCTGTTTGGACCTTTCTGAACATGTGCAGCAAATGGACTGATCCAATATGGTGGACACTGAAGGGGGGGGCTGAGACACACTTAATATTATCAGCGTTCTGATGGCATTTTAGCCAAAGGATTTTTATCAAAAACATCATTAATGAGCAGAAATAAGGAATAGTTGTATTAATCATATATTTATGGGGCCCCGAGAAGCTTGGGGCCCTTGGTGGCTCCCCAGTACTGCCTAATGGTAAATGCCCCCCTGCTGAGGGGCCGCCTGGTTCGCTTATGCTTTGGACCTGCTGAGGTAAAACATTTCTGGATCCAGATGTTTTTCTCAGCAGCTTCGTTTCCTTGTTTGATATTTTCCCAGAAATGCTCCTGCAGGGACCCGTAGATCATCTGACTGCTCTGCTCCTTCCTCCAATGATCCACAGACACTGCGTGGGTTGCAGTAGCAGGTGGATGATCCGTGGGCTCCACGCTGGAGGCCCGGTCCCCCTGCAGGATCCACGGTGGCTCCGCTCTGTCCTGCAGGGACGGTCCCAGCATGAGCCTGGCCCCTCCACGCCCCCCTCCGCGCGCTCTTACCTGGGCCGGACGCTCTGCTGTTGCTGTTGATGATGTAATGGGAGACTTTGGAGTTCTCCGACACCGACAGCACGTAGTCCCCCGGGCTGGTGATGGAGTCCCGGACCAGAAACACGCCGTGCCGCTGACCCTGCAGCAGGGACAGCGCCTCCTGCCTGCTCAGGCGGCCCCAGTACCAGCTGCCGCGGTCCTTCGCGTCAAAGTGACCGGCCATGATGACCACCACAAAGCCGAGGTTTCAACCCGGGGCCTTCCGCGCTCTCCTCCCGTTATCCACCAGCGGAGCTTCAACTCATACAAAAAACTTTAGCGCCGAGAGCCGCTCCGGTGAGCAGGCGGCATCCGCAGCTGGCCGAGCCGAGGCTCCGATCCGCGCCGAGAAAAGCGGCTCCGCTGCGGCCTGAGCTCCGCCTGCTGCTCCCCGCTCACTGCGCTTCACCCGCGGCGCCGATTGGGGCGAAGATCCGGCGGCTGGTGTCCACTAACTTCAAAAACTGAAATGGCGGATGCGGGGAAACAAAAAAGGCCCCATTCACCGGATGTGACGTAGAGACGTAAAGCACGCACGACGTCAAGATCGATGCGTAAAAATAAACTAATAAGCGCGCATCTCATTAAATTCCCGCATTTATATGTTCCTTATTCTTTCAAACATTTAATATTCTTTTTATAAACCGTTTTTTTATTTTACTTTGAATATTCAAACTGTTTGCCTTTTGGCTTTAATTATAAACCAGACCTGAACATTTAGATGTTTCTTTAACAGCAGAGGATTAGAGCCACTGAAAAAAAAAAAAAAAGTTAACTGATTTTTAATTAAATATTGTTTCAGTTTAATATGGGAAAACATTCTGACTTTAATCTCTGAATTGTGACTGAATTCTGGCAGCTAACATGTTAGCATCAAGCTGTAGCCATGTCTGTTTTACAGACTACAGCAGCTCTCTGTTTTTAATCACCTAATTCCTCCCAAACATCTCTGCCTTCATGCTGCCCATCTACAATAAGATTAAGAAGATTTTTTCAATATTAAACTGAAATAAAATTAAAAAATCTGTTAACTTTTTTTATTTTTTCAGTGGCTCTAATCATTTTCCGTAAAAAAAAAAAAAAAAAAAAAAAACCCACCCAAATCAAAGTTTTTTAAATTTTCTCATTATAACTATCATATATGTGCTCTCTTCATCCTCTGACATGGGAGCTGGCTCGGAGCTCGTCTGCCTGGCTGTGTGTTTCCTGGACTGGGCCGCCTGTGGAGCTGGTTGACAGTTGCCTTTTGTATCTATGCTTCTTTTTCTATGTCTGCTTCTGTCTCCTTGAACCCCAATGGGCCTCAGCAGATGGCCGCTCACACTGAGCCTGGTTCTGCTGGAGGTTTCTTCCTGTTCAAAGGGAGTTTTTCCTCTCCACTGTCGCTACAAGCATGCTTAGTGTGAGGGATTGCTGAAGAGTCAATGAGTCGATGCAATCAGCTGGTTTTCCTTAGATAGAAAACTTTGAATCAATCTGACTGGTTGATCTGGTGAACTGGAAAGTGACCTGAGATGACATGATGTGAATTGGAGCTATAGAAATAAACTGAATAGAATTGAATATACAACAGACAAGGTATCGGCATCAGATGTATATAAACCAGAAAAACCTGGAGAAGCCGACCCAGGGTGCTTCTATATTTACAGAAAGGACAAATAAAACAAAAAAACAAAAAGTCATATTATATTGTTCTGCGTCTTGTTCTTGGTCCGTGAATTTTAGAGATAAGAAGAAGTGGCAGAGTTCCTTGTAAAAATTGGGGAAATATGGTTTAAATTTTGAATTGAAAAAGCTTCCAGGATGGGAAGCGAAACGTCCTCAAACTTGGAAACAAAGTCAAGTGGATTTTTTTTTTTTTCCGAATCATCCCACAAAGCGTTTCAATGCACACATTCATAGAAAAGCTGCTCAGTCGACCTGAATTCACCATGAAGGAATAAACAACTGTTTTCATCAATGGCAAATGGAAATCTAAGGACTTCCTTAAAGGGATAAACACCTGTTAAGATTTTAAAGTGGACTTTCTTGGATTTTGGAGGAATGAGAAGATTTAAATTATTTGTTCTAATTTTCATCCTCTCAGCCTTTGAAAAAAAATACAAAAATATATACAGAAATATTAAATTTGGATTTCATACAAAGGACACAAATAACTAGTAAAACATTCCCTAATGTTTAGTTTATTATCTGTCCTACTGAGCCCATTAATCAGATGTCCAGGCAGCACAGGGCTTCTGTAAACAGGGTTCTCATAAAAACATTTATCTGTGCATAAAATATCTTTAATCATATCTTTAATCATTATTTGAAATTCACTTTTAGTTATTTGCAGGTTATATTTAATACTGAAGTCTTCATAAGATACAATCCCTCCATTATTTAATAAAAGCATCACAGACCAAACACCTTGTTCTAGCCAATTATATTCAAAGATTGATTTATGGTTCATTTTTAATTCCATACGGCGGTATAGTGTGGGCTGTAGTTATGTTTATAGATTCCACCCTATTCTTAGTAGGTTTGGGAAAAATTAAATCTGAAGGTGCATTTCATATGACCGTCCTCTAGATGTCGCTAAATTTCTCCTTATGTCTGATCTACATTCATAAAGGGTTCATTCTAGAGAAACATCAGTTTTTCTGTTTCTAGAAATATCACTTTTTAATTATTTTTATGCTAAAATACGTTTTAATTGTACTTTCAAACTATTTTCCACTATCAGCAAGTTAGAATTTTATTTTTATTAAACTCTTTAAAGCCCTAATCAACGGATGTGACGTCCCCATGGTCGTTTATTGAGGGAAAGAGCTTTATTTGGAGTTCAAAAATATATTTTTCCACATTTGATAATGTAAAAACAGCTATCAGATAAATGATGCTATAACAATACCATGTTTAATACTTTGAAAAATATAAGGTATTTGCTTTGTTCTTGCCTGTTTTCCAGTTGTGAATCTGTGACCTTGCAGTCTTTGCAGGAGGCAAGTATTTAAGGCAAGTAGGTTCTCCAGATAATGCTAGCTCACCTCCATTATCTAAAGATGTTTTTCTTTCTGTAGGTCATTCAGTCCTTTATCTCATTAATAGCAGTTTTCAGGTGTAATTCCTGAACATTTGAACCATGATGTTCTACTGAGGGAACATATCCCAGATCCTGCTGCTCTACAGAACTATAGGCCTATCTCTAAACTGCATTTCTTTTCAAACTGCATACCAGTAGTGTTCTTTGACAAACATGGATGCCTCCAGTAAAGCACATTCAAATGAAAATTACTCCTAATTAAAAACACTGATCATTTGTTGAACAGTTTGTAATAATTTGAAGTATTTTCCGAACTTTTCCTTTAAAGGCGTTTGAACACTTTAAAGAACAAACGCATGAATAGTTTTATCCTGACTTCATCCCCTGGAAGGACATCAGTTCCTCTGAAGGAGACGCTGCGATGATGATGGAGTCAGAAAACGGAGACAGAGCTGAGGATTCATTCCCTCTGTTTATTGGTTCGACCGAACAGCAAACCATAATCATACAAATCCTCTGGCGTCTGAAGAAGTCTACAAACTTCGTTAAAACAACCGGCCTGATAAAAGGACCAAAGTTAAGCTCTAATAAAGAATAATACAGGAGAATACAGAGCCAACACATTCACTCCCATGTTTACTCTTCAGCATCACAGTAACCTCTCAGTAGATTGTTTGAGGAGCAGAAGAAGCATCTCCCTTTGCTTCCTGTTGGTCCGACTGAGACCGTCTCACTGGAAGATGGAGAAGAAGAAGCCAGTCATCGTGGTTCTACTTTAAAGCTTCAGGTGAACATTTCCAACAGTTTTATAGATTATATCGGAGCCTTCAACTGGATTTCTGGGTCTGAAGATTCCAGTTTAGCATCTCCATCTGTTGATTAATCCAGGCACTCCCAGCACGGTTGGGATTTGGCGTTAAAAAGAGACCTGTGGCGGCGGCTCGTTATGATCACCTGCAGCTTGCTCTGCTTTGGTCTTTCTCTGTGGGCGGGTGGAAGGAGGTCGACCACCTGAAGCTCTGACCCCAAAGCCTGCCGCTGCGACTCAGAGGGACGGTTAAACCATACTGCGGGTCAATCCGGCCGGCGGCAGACCTCCTTCTTAAAGGGTTCAGTCTTTATAAAACTGGCGTGCATGCAGTTACTGAGGATTAAAGGGATTCTGTTTCCAATAATATCATGTGCGAAACTATTAAAAAGCTGCTGGTGTGGATGAGGGGCGAAATGAAGCACCTGTGAAGAAAATGACATCATGTTTCTGATGAACTTTGAACCGAACTGACTGGATGATGAGATGAAGTAAACTGGATGAAGAGCTGTGATGAAGATGATCTGAAATGCTTCTGATGGATGTAAAGGGCTGGTTATCGTCCCGCAGCAGCGTGTCGCAGTTAGCATGTCGCAGGTATGATGCAGACATTTTTGATTTATGCCCAATTTTGAAGCATGGTCAAAGCATCAACGCCAGAGAGCCAATCAGGAACTAGCTAGGATTGATGGTGTCTGTGTGTTTGACGAGCTTATTCGCCGTCTACAACCCCTCATCCAACGCAGGACGACTGTTCCCCAAAGACCGGCCGTGGTGCTGCAGGTTTGGCTTCAGGTGCAGACCAACAGACCGTCGCTCTGAGCTAGCGTCCTGCACGGTGTCTGGGATAGCGTCCGAGGCGCGCCGGGCGTCGTGGACGGCGCTGCAGCCAGAGTTTCTGCCATTAGGAACCAAACAGGAAATAGGCATAGATTAGAGCGGATGTAGATTTGACCAATCAGAGGCCTCCTGTCTGCGCTCACCTACAGTGACCTACAGCACCACAGTGGGGGGGCATGTCTGCGTTAACTCCGACCACGCATGCAGACGGCCTGGTTTCTGAGGATAAACAGGCTTTAAGGCTTCAGCAGAGAGAGAATCTTTTCCTTTGGTTCATCTAAGCTCAGAAGGCCGTAGAGGACTTTTCATTTATTCTTCTCCAGCTGTGATGAGCAACATTTTTCCAACCCTTCCAGATGTGGGCGTGGTCTCCCCCAGGTTTCCTGTCATGGTCTTGTGATGTTCGCTGCTGCATCTGAAGGTCAGCGTGTGAGGAACATCAGGAATGTCTCAGGCGCCATAGCAACAGGATTTATATGTTATAATTTAAATGCTTCATTTATTTATTGTGTTTTTTTTAACCTGATTAAAAAAAAAAACACGCAACATTTTGGATTGAAGAAAAGAGGAGTTAGTAAAAGATACTTTTATTAAAATGTGTGTTTTAGCATCTTAACGCAACGCAGTGTATCTTTTAACCACTAGGGGCGCTAGATCTCTAACTTTATGGGTTTAGAGATGGGATTTAGAGCTTTTGGAGACCAACTGGATCCTGGCAGGGGCGGAGCTAGATGGGGGGCCAGGGGTGGCCATTGCCCTGGTCTCTAATACAAACGGTGGCAGCAGTAATACTCTCAAGGGGAATGTTCTTATTAGACATTTACGTTTTTCATATATTAACAATTACTTTACAACAGAAACACTATGGTTAATTAGGTACATTAATATATACTAAAATAAAGATTATAGGTGCAGAATTCATGCTCTTTTCAGGGGTAAATTTTGTGTTATTTGGGGTAAAGAGAAAATTATGTCTGTGCAAGTCATCTGGGAGTCTTCAGTGAAATCATAGATAAATAACTACTTTAATAATTGCGAGTCCAGCAAGCAAATGGCTTATCATGGCGCCGAACAGTGGTGAATATTGGAAGTTCCGTTTAATAGAATCCAAGTGTGTAAAAAGTTCCATCTGAGATGAATGAAAATAGTTGTTTTAATGGTTATTGAGTCAGATATGTGGCGGTAATGTAGCAAACCACCTGTTTGGTTATTAAAAATATTAAAATATTCCTTTACCATATAGTTGAGCTATTTTTCAATGCATTTATTTTCATGATTTAAGTGTATAAAATACAGTTCATGATTTGTTTTTACAATAAGAAATGTATTTCATGTGTTCTGATATGCAAATTGCTCGGTTTTGAGTTTTTGGTTATAATGAGCTTTATTTTGAAGAACCGCTAACTACTTCCTGTCAGTATTACACTGTGGAAAAACGGAGGGAAAAACAGAACAAGCTACCGGTAAAAGTGAGAAGTTTAAGGAAAACAAAAGGGAGATAAGTAACAGTATGCAAGATAAAGAGTAACCTCCCGAGGAGGCACAAGGTTAGTAGTAATGTGCAGAAAATTCCGGCTGTATTTACCTCAGAGATTTGTTTAGAAAGCTAAGGCTATGCTAAGTTTTTCTTACATGTTTGGTAAAGCTGTGCTGTGTCGCATACAGAGATGAAGAACAGCATTGTAATTAAATGCATTTTCTGTCTGTCAGTTCTCACGTTGGTTTCAAAAAGTTACTTTCATGGAGCCTGGAAATAAATACTGAAAACCATCAGTCCAGTCTACAATCTTTCGGAGGGTATTCTACAGGTAATGTTTGGTTTATCTAAAGGAATTTATCTGTTACTGTGGAAATATGTTTGGCTGATATTTAAGCTTCTAATATATCTGCAGGGTGGGACTATAAATGTGATATCTGAGACCACGGTGCTGCTGCTGAAGCTCCTCAGAACGTTATTAACACCCAGAACAGCAGTGAGAAGTGATGGAGAGTTATTGTGACTGGATGATTGAAATAATAAATATTATGCCTAATTCGCATTCCAGGATTGGGGGCGTTCCAGTGACGTCACGATTCGAATGTGACGTCAGTGGAAGTGTGTTTGAATAGTAGACCCGCCAATTCGCTCCATTCCCTCAGTGGGCAGAGTCAGGAAAGGCTGAAGAATAATATTCTCTGTTCCAGAAAGGATTTTGGTGTTTAGATTAAGCAACAGATCATCCATCATGGTTTCCTTTCTACGCTGTCTTTCACTGGGGCTGAATTTGTATAATTCCACCCAAAGCACCGTGACCTCCAGCGCTGCGGTCCGTTCTATCTACATCCAAGTGTCTCTGCAGAACCCTGGCAGAAACCCTGAAGGAGAAACCACATCACCGCTTTCCAGGTGGATTTACCTGCAGCTAAAACAGAGCTGATGATGAAGAACCTCAGAGACATGAAGCCTCCTCAGACGTCTGCAGGCTCATTTTTAGATCCGACCAGCAGGGCTTCCAATGCAGAGACACAGAAACACCTTCAAGCTGCCGTCGCTGCTCAGACTTCCCATGAAACAACCCGTCAGAATAAGGAGATTATCCCTGAAGAACACCACGGATCACCCAGGATCCAAACAGAACCTGCAAGTCAGCCAGTGTTCAAGTCTCTTTCTCCTCTCCTGTGTTTTGCTCTTTGTCAGGTCCCGCCTCAGATCGACGCTGATGACCAGCAAATGTTGAAAAATCCAACGAGAGCAGAACCTCAGAGGGTCCACCTTACTGAACAAACCTGGACATGGCTGAGGAGGTTTTTAGGATCTGCTGGGAACGCTTTAGGGGGAACCTGGTGTAGAATGTCACTGATGTTGGACCAAATCAGAAAAAGCATCACGGCTCTTTTTAACACACTCAGAACCAGAATCCTAGCTTTCCTCAACCGAGCCGACGGCAGAATCCACAACATGTTGCTTGATGCAAACGAGGCCGTTGGTTCTTCTTTTGACACATTCAGAACCAGAATCCCAGCTTTCTTCAACACGGCCAGAGAAAGGCGGAGAAATAACGCGACTGCCGCCAGAGAAAGGCTGAGAAATAACGTGACTGCCGCCAGAGAAAGGCTGCAGATTATTACTAATCAAATGGTAGCAGGTTTGCATGCTTTAACTGGGACAATCTCCGAGTATTGCCTGTCTGTTCAATTTTTTGTATTCCTGATTTTTTTTACTTTTCTTACCTGCTTTATCGTGTTTAGTTAGAATCCAAGATTTCCATCCGGAGATGGAGTCCATTCTGAAGAAACCAAATCCAAAACAGATCAGCCAATGTCCAAACCTAAAAATGTAGAATCGTTCTAATGATTGATTGATTTTTTTAAAGCTGTAGAATTCCTGCTTTTCTTACTTTTTTAATAAATAAAATATTTTCCGCCTTACCTTTATCATATTTTATCTCAGTTTCCTCAAATTTTTCTAAATTCCGTGTCTTAAAAACTCCCCAAACTAAAAATATTAATAGGTGCCTCCATGTAATGCAGGAACATAGAAAGCTGTGGCATTCTGTGTTCCTGGCATTGCACGGAGGCACCAATTCCTTTAAAAGCTTGCAGGTGCAGCATTGCTGCCCTGATGTGGGTTCTCTCCGACTGCTTCGGCTCCCGCATCCCAGGAACATGGATGGATTGTCTCCTTCATCAGGGCTAACTGGCTTTTCAAGCCTCTTTATTGACCTTTGAACTCCTGTTGACTTTTCCACTGTGAACTAGGGGTGTAAGTAATAATCGTTTTATATCGATGCGTCGATCCAACAGCCGACGATCCGATGCATCGACACGTCCGCAAGAGTATTGATTCGTGGTCTATTTTTATCCATTTGCTCCTGGACGTAATTCTCCCTCCCGTGCTGGGGGGGCACTAAACCTATTTTGCCCTCCTACCTCGCTTCCTGCTTATCCATGTCGCATCAATTCTCTAGTCATACGAAAATGTTTGAGATCGTCTGAGTTTTGGCCTCATCGTGCGTCCTGCGTCGTGTAGTATACAGGGCGTAATGAGGGGCGATCAGTCTCTCATGACCCCCTCCCCATCAGGAATCGTAAGGTCAGGAGAAAATCAAACATGTTTGATATTCAGTCGGCCGTCGTAAGGCGTTGGTGGGTAAATTCTGCTGTTGAAGCAGAGCAAGAGCCGATTTACCGGAACCTCACAGCCGTGCAAACGAGGAAGTTCTTCTTCCAGACTCACGAGTTCGGCTAGCGCCATTTCTCGGAGCTGAGTCCGACGTGTGGTTTTTAGACGTAGAATGTGAGCAGGTAGATCGCATCAGAGCGTTGGGTCGCACAAACATGGTGAACAAACATGGTGAGCGGTGAAGCTTCAAATCCTGCGGTTTCGACGCACAGTGTGAGCTGTAGCTGCGTAAAACGATTGAAAATATCGCACAGTGTATTCCCGGCTTTAGGCCTCTATGGTTGGACTGGCTAGCATCGCTAGCTGCAAGCTACCTCATTGATTTTGATGCATTCCTGAGCTGTTATTATTCATTTTTCACATTTTTGAATGCATTTAAGATCTCTGTGTCAGGGATGTTTATATTTATCTGCTGCCATTTGAATGCATTAAGCCTTAAAATTAGCCTTAAAACTTTGCTCATTGAATGGACTCTTAAAACCCCTTTTCCCCTTTTTTTTTGCTTTTACATTTATTTACTTGTGCTTATTTTCAGTAGTGTTTAGCAGTGTTGTTTAGTAACAAAGTAAAAATACTTCACTACTATACTTAAGTATGTTTTGGAGTACTTTATATTTTCCAACAGTATACATTTTTTTGAGAACTTTGGGCCGGATCTATCAAAGGTTTGCGTGTATAAAAACGTGAGCTATTTCACTGCGCATGCTAAAAAATGTACAAACTGATCTATCAACAGCGTGCTAAAAGGATTTGGTCTTTAAAACGTGCTAAATAGCGCCTCTTATCCATTTCGTACTTTTTCTGCAATAAATATGCAATATGGGGCGTTTACACGCAAAAGTGCGTCTTGTGGGAGGAGAACATGTAAATATATTAATTTAGCACTCGCAAAGTGATTTATCAAACCTGAAAGCAATTTTGCTAACGGTATCTGACTCTATATTTAACACGTTTCAAAAGAAGGTGCAAATGGTCTGTATGCGTAATTGCGCACACATGGCAGCGGTTATTGTCGCAAGAAGGAGACATTGAAATGAAGCAAGGAGACGCAGAGAACGCATTTTTTCACTCCGTGTGAATATTTTTGGAATGAACGAGGAAACGATCAACAAAACATATCGTTTATCCAGCATTGCCATTTTGGAGCTGTTGGGGGAACTCCGAATGGATTTGGAGCCAGCCACAAGGAGGACCCACGCAATACCAGATATCACTAAACTCCTTGCAACGTTGCACTTTTTTGCATCTGGGATCTCCCAATCTCGTTTTTCCAATGCTGCGGGGATGCGTACGCGCAGTAATCTCATCCACAGTCACTTCTTGTGAGCCATTTGGTACGTGCATTTTTCTACAGGCCAATACAAAACACCTGTTTTTTTTGTTTTTTTTTTACTGCAGTGAAGTAGAAATTCAGCCACATACCACCTTAGCGAATAAAGGTTGCCAAACTACAAACTACTTTGCCGCAAACCACAAAACGCGCAAAACCCTCATTTAAATAGGGCGTCTCCAACAGTTTTGCACCTGCCACCAGTTACGCAATCACTCTTATTAAATCACCCGCAAACCATGGTTCAGCCCCTCGCGCAAAATTCCAGTTTTCGAGCTCAAATTACTGCACGCAAAATTGGATCTTGATAAATCCGGCCCTTTCACTTTTACTTCACTTCATTTACAAACTTAATTGCATACTTTTACTCCGATACATTTTCAATGTTTGGTTTAGTTACTAAGTAAAAAAAAATAAACGAACGAGAGGGCAAAAGAAACAAGTGTTTTGACTAGTGTGCGAAATACCTGTCAATATTTGGGGGGGTCTCCATCTCCCGATTGTTGCGCAATACCAATCTAAATTTTCTCAATATGCAGTAGGCCTATAACATTTCAAAGTCAGTTTTAATGCCAATTCTTCAGATTCACCAGACATACAAGGACTCGAGAGGACGTTTGTTTCTCATTCACCAACAGTGAAACAGATAAAGGCACAACAGATAAGTTCAGTTCCTAATACTAAAATTTAAACATTCAATTTCACAATAAAATATAAAATGTGCAATAATATAAAACATGCAATACTTATGCTAGTGCAAAAAGGCAGATGGTAATGGCAGCAGAAAAAATATTATTATTACCAATTATGTAAGATATAGCATTTGTAACAGCAACAGTGCAAAAGAACAGTAAATAAATATAGTATTAATAGTAGTGCAGGAGACAGTTTGTCAGGAGTGATTTTTTTTTTAGGGGGGGCTCAGCTTCCTGACAGCTTGGTGGATGAAGCTTTCTGTGAATCTGAGCGGGCAAGAGCCTGAATAGACAGTTTATGAAAACACACACACGCACAAAGACTGTCTGTCTGTCTGTCTGTCTGTCTCTCTCTTTCATGCACGCACATGTCCTGCTTTAATCCAGTTTCTGACGAATGGAAATGGGTTGAATCTGTCCAGAGGAGGTCCGTTGAGGTCCACAAACAGGAGTGAAGACCTGCTGTCTTCACGCAATCAGTTCCGCGTTGCCCGTGTTATTAACTGCGGAAAAGCACATGGCTAATTTGCATACGCGAACAGGATTGGCTGGCTCCACTTCGCAAAAAAGCAAAAAGCAGTTTGTAAATAAAGGTTTTGATTTTTAATACTGGACATGTTGAGCTTAAAAACATTTTAGTGACCATTAGCGACAAAAAAAATGATCTATGTCCTGCCCTCACTCTTAGCTTAGCAGGTAGATAACCATCATTTCCAGTAACCACGCCGTAAGCCTTTTCTTTGGATTTATTGGCTGGTATGGATGGATGGATAAATGGTAAAACTGCAACAAAGAAATAATGTGCATAAGTCTTTGTGTAAACAGGCACAATTCCAAATAAACAGGCACAGTTCTC